TGGGCACTGAATGTGTCCCCAGCCGGCGTTGTAATAACCGTCGATGGTTAAGTAGTTAGATTATATACGCTGGAAGAGGAGATCGGATCGGAGGTCCGGGTAGCGTAACTGGCAACGCATCTGCACGGTAAGCAGGAGTTGTGGGTTCGAGTCCCGCTCCGGGCCGATTTTTTCTCCCAGCGGTTCCAAATTATTTAAATTAATTAAAATTATTTATAATTATTAATATTAATAAGAGATGGCGCCTAACGCTTACCTCTAGTACCAAATTGATTACGTAATTTATTTAATAATTAGCATAAAACTAGCCCGATAGATTTTCGGCAGTTTGTTGGTTGTAGCTATATTATATATCGGGTTGGAGATGTTTGTATATACATATAGAGCGTCGTTTATCCAAAAGCATTCCAGTCGGCAAATTTAAATTTTCGCTAGTGATGTGGCACTACACTCTTTGGCTATATCTTGGGCTACTCTAATATTTTTTTTTTGTTGGTGTGTGTATTTTAGCTGGCAGCACTGGCACTTTTGTGTGGTGTTTTTCTGAGGACTGTGTGTCGTGCTGAATCGAACGTTTTTGATACTAGATGAACTTCTAAAGTATTTTTTTTTTTTGTTTTTATATTTTTCAATATATTTATTTTATTTTTACAAAATAAAAAAATAATTTTTAACGATACAATAGCCACAATTATTCTTTTAAAAAGTTTTCGTTACACTTAACATCGACGAAAATTCAATGCGAAGTGACATGCAAAAGAGAAAAATTTCAACATGGGATAGGTTAATATATTTTTTCATACATAATCGGTTATCCAAAAAATAAGTTATCCGAACAACCCCAGTCCCCAATTGATTCAGATAAATGACGCTCTACTGTATTATATATAGTTCATTTCCATATTTGTAAATTATTATAGGAAGATCTGACAGAAAGTAACTTTATTCCTACAGTGCTATGCTTATTTATTTTTAAATTGAACATCTTATCAAAGAACATTCAGAAATTTTGGAGCAAAGACAGTCAATTTTTTCAGCTAGGCCACCCTCCCATTGTATTCCTGAGAAAAAGTGAAAGCAATCTAACTAGTAAATTTACTGTATTTACTGATTATTCAATAAAATGATAAAATTGATGACATATGAATGGAGACCAATATGTGAAATAAAATTATGTGATAATGAATTTTAATGTTTCCAAGTGTGTTGTATAAGTTATATAGAACTCCTAAGACATGATATGAATAAACAATCTCTGGGTAATCTTGCTAGTTCAGATAAGGAAGCAGTCCAGCTAAGAGAACATGATGCAGTAATTTTGAGTGCACTCTCTTAAGCAGACTCAACTGTATTTATGTTTACTAAAATACATTCTGTATCTTATATCTTTATAAATTCTCAAAATTATATAGCTGATTATCGTTTAATATTAAAACAATTTTCTTTCAAACAATTAAGGTATTTATTTTTAAATTCTTTATTTTGACCATCATTTCTATTTGAAATTATAACATAATTATTTTCATGTTAATTATACTTTTCTAATTAATAATACTATAATCAGAATATCTTTGTTATTCTTATTTCAAAATTTCTCATCTTTCTCTGTAGAGGTCTGTCTTCTATAAAGTATGAAGTCATTACATTAAAAACAGCATAAAAACAATGTTATTCTGTCATATATAATCATTCCATCATATGTCACTTACAATCATTATCATATCATCCTATAATTATTTTTTTTGATTTTTGTAAGTACTGTAATTTTTCTTTTATTACATAATAACTATAATTATGTAATATGCTGCAATCCTAAATTTTCATAATTAAAAAAATATATTGGAGAAATAAAAATAATCTAGTTTTTAAACTTTCTCCTTGTCTCTGATATATGGTAGGTTAATTAGGTTGTGTGTGTGTGTTTATTAGAACAAAAATAAGAATACAAATTTATCAATTTCTAAGACATACAGTAAACTCCTGATAACTTGACTAATACAGAGGGGGTAAAATTTCTCCAAGTTTACAATAGTCTGAGTTAGCAGAGTGGTTTTTCAGATTTAAGAAGATAGTTATACAATATAGTAATTTATTACAATCAGATCTATAGAGAAGACTTACTGAGCTTTAGTAGGCTGTACTAATGAATTTATTACAGAAAATGAGCTTAAAAACATTTCATGACAATACAGTACAAGAAAAGAAGAATACAGCAAAGAAAAGCCTTTACTAACTTACTGACTATAGTAATATAATGCATGGTATCATGAAGACTTTTGGACATCGAAAATACTTGAAAATACATAACGTAAATGCCATTTTTCTCTAAATACATTTTATTAAAAAACTGAATTCAAAACACAATGTTTCTGCTGTAAAAAAAATATTGTGGTGATATTGGCACTGTAAGTGGCTATATTTTGAAGTTGAATTTATGTGAAGCCATAACATTTAAAGTGCAAGTCACATGACTTTTGGTGTTTAAAACATTACAGCTTATATTTACATTATTTTGATATTCCAGTGAATTTGTAACCTAGTGAAGTTTTTACCATTTTATTGTAAAATTGAAATTAATTCATTCACTAGAAAAAGTGTTTTTTACCTCTCCTGAAAAGTTTGTTTTTTAGCATTTACAACATTATGGCATTGCACACTTCACTTGTTAATTATAATTTTCTATTGCCAATAAATTTTAAATTACTATACAATTTTTCAAAAAAATTTGTGAGGTCTGACTTAGCAAATCCAAGCAGGAGTTTACTATAAGTAATGATGAATCAAATTATAGGCTTGAAATATAAACACAAATTATGAAAACTCCTTCTGATGTCCTGAGAGATTTCTTCATAAAATGAATAACTTTTTCAATTTAAATTATTTTAATCATGCAAATAATATAATTTTTTCTATTCAATTCTACTTTAATATAAATTCAAGGAATATATCTGTTTAAATTTATTAAATAAGAATTTATAGTTTTTGAAAAAGTTATGGTTATTGAATTTATAATTTATTATTATGTACATACTTATCCATATATTCTCCATGTAATACAACTGCACAAGTAGTACATTTAAAACACCAAATATGCCATTGTTTTTCCAAAGCTACAAGTGCTTGTCCCTCCTTTAATTCTTCTCCGCAACCAGCACATTCTGAAATACAAATTATTTTCTCATTCAATATAAGAAAACAACATTTGGACTGGTAACAGCTTTCATGTTTAATTTATTAACTAAATTTATAGAGGAATTTACTTGAATCATATTGTATAGATTCCCATATGTAATATAGAGGAAAAAATCATTTTCTATATAATAATTATTTAATTTTTAATATATTAAATGACTGCCAGATTAAATTGGGCTACTTAACCACTATTATTTTTAATTAAATCTAAATAATTTGGAATTAAATTCTAAATAATCTTTATTTATTAAATTAAAACTATTTATATAACTGTATTAAAAGATATTTTTAATACAGTTATATTAAAAATATCAGCATGAAAGTTATTGTAAAGTAGATTTATTCCCATAATATGTGAAAAAAAAATTTTTAATATTTCATAATATAAATATCAAACTTTTTGTTAATAGTTTCCTTGAAAATAGTGGACTCCCATGTAATAATATTGATCCTATGTAGTAATGTTGTCCCATGTAATCATATGATGCTCATGTTATTTTATCTTTGCATACTGTTACTCTCCATAAGAAAATGTTGGTTCATTAAATATAAAAAGTCCACATAATATGATTGTGTATGTGATAAGCAAAGTACACATGGAACAAAGAATGAGTATAGAGTTAGGAATTTTCATCATAAATTTAGGTTTTTTTGAACTAAGGATAAACATTCACTTACTAAGCAGAGTTAATTTTCTGTTTCAATTTTCCCACTAAAACTGAGGAATTAGTAAAAAGATAGAAATTTACACACCTACACTAAGTTAAGTATAATATTTTAATTTTTTAATTACTTTATTATAGTCTTATTTATTCTTGTATATAATTGTTATTTGAGTTGATCTTATTTTTTTTTTATAAATTTACACTAGAGAATGTAATAAGGTTATTGTGTTATTTTGAAAAATTATACTAGTAGATAATTTTTTGCAAAAATTAACCAATTTACATATAAACTATATCTTACATAATGCTATTTTTTCATAACTCAATTTTGAAATGATTGATAACTTTACTTGGAGATACACTGAATACATTTAATTTAATTAATTTATATTAAAATTTAAATGATTTCCTAATTCTAGTTGTTTTGTAATTAAACAAATTTGAACAATTAAAAAGATGCATATTAATTAAACATGTAATTCTTTAAAATTACACAATCAGTGATATCACAAGCTGTGCTATTGATTCTTTAGAACTAATGAGCATTTCCTCTATTCCTCTAAGAACTGTTGTTTGCAAAAGTCTGTTTACAAAATGGTAAAATTCAGCAATCACAATGTGTTTCTTATAACTTTTGCTGATCTTGTGTGTGTCTTTTATTAGCAAAGAATTAATTATATACTTACTTCATAGTTTCAATAATTTAATTTAATGACATAAGTAGTTATGATGTTCTTATATGTATGATAATTAGAAAACTGGGATGAAACCTGGCTTTCCTAGCCAATGGGATGATTAGACAGTGGACCTATAGGCCTTTAAAAGTGGCGTTTTAGATGCTTAAAATAAGCTCTTAAATTGCGTCGTTTAGGCTTTATAAACAAAAAATAGGCGGTCAAAATTTGCACAATGAACAATTAACGTACTTATCAGGATGATGAATTTTTATTTAACATATGTATTCCAAACAAAAATGCACATATTCAGAATGATGCAAAGACAAAAGTAGACAAACAATTATCTTTACATTTTTTATTCGCTGTTTCCCATAGTTAGCTTCATAATATATTACAAGCACTTTTTCCAAATTTTCAATAGAAAAGTTGCAACATTTGTCACTAAAAATTAATTTATATGCAGAGAAAGAGCATATAATCCGTTATCTTCAATAGATGTGAAATACATCTACTGAAGATAACGGATCTTGGAAGAAGATGAACTGGGAATTCACTTTCAGTTTTGCTTTTCTTTCCTGCCAAAATATCAGCCACAATAAACAAGCACTTTAATCTAAGTCTCTTTTGAAGCACTGCTTTCAACTCTTTCTTCACTCTTTTTTTTTGCAGCAGTGCCTGGTGCATCGCAAAGTTTCTGCTTTGCTCTGTTGAGGAGATCAATTTGTTCATATATAGGTTTCCCACTACTTTCGAGAGCGGTAATAGTATCTGCAATAATGTGAAATAACACTCGATGTACATCAACTTGTTCTGAACATAAATGTCATTCAAAATTTTCTTGATTTTAGTTACACAAACTGCATTGTCGGCTAAGGTGGCCAGAAGTTTTTTGATATCGAAGAAATGTTCACTGTAGTAGTTAGTACAAAATCTTAGCTATGTATATGTTAAGGAAAAAAATAGGCATTTGCCTAAAATCAGCTGTCTAAAAATGACAAATAAAGCATCTCTAATCCTATATTTATTAAATAAAAGCATTTATTTTAAAATATTTCATATAATTTTAATGTTAAGCGCCATCTCTTATTAACATTAATAATTATAAATAAATTAATTAATTTAAATAATTTAGAACCGCTGGGAGAAAAAAAATCAGCCCGGAGCGGGACTCGAACCCCGCTATAAACTTCATATAATCTTAATTTTATTACTATAAAATTGCATCAGAGGGTGTAATTTATTTCCGTTATTATTGCATTCTAATTTTTTCTACTCAGGATATGCATCCACTGGGACTTAAATATAAGTAATCAATAATAATAAATATCACTATGGTATAATAATAAATATCATTGTAATAATAATAAAAAAAATGAATTTGTCTGATTGCATTTTCAGGAAAAAAATGAAACTTAAACAGTTTAATTTAAGAATTAAAGTAAACCTTTCATGACCTTTGAGGAAAATAAACAAAAAATTAATAAAAACTTTCTAAAAATATGAAAACAGACTAAACTTTGTGTTTTAGGCAAAAATAGGAAGCAACGTCAAAATAAGCATTTTTAGGCATTATAAAATACCATTGTTTTGGTCTAAATGTTTATGAAAAGTGTTCATACAAAATCTTAGCCATGTATATGCCAAGGAAAAAAAATAGCCATTTGCCTAAAATCCACTGTCTAGTGATGACTGGGTGAAAAGTAAAGTAAATGAAAAGATGCACTTCCTTTTTCATGCTTCTCATAATCAGCACACCTTGTAAGTGCATTAATTCCATTGTATTTAACACTAAATGTTGTTTGGCAAATGATGCAATAAGCTGGACAAATATCATCATCATCACAAGTTAACCAATTTTTAAATTCATTCACTTAAAACCAGGTTTTCATAAATGTACAATTACATAGAAATTTTTTTTTTGAGGTAAAAAAAGAATGTCTAGACTGGCTCTCCTTGAAAAATCTATTTTAAAATTTCAAAATGGCAGTACAAACAAGTATTTTTAGTTAGAATCACATAAATTGCATTTGAAAATGTAATGTATGCAGTACTATCTATGATTCATAACAAAAACTTTAATAATAAAATGATTCTCTCATTATTATTGTTATGTGTTGGGTTTAGTGGGTTATACTCGGTACACACCGGTGGCTGTGTACTATGCCAAACCAGAGTCAAGACATAGCAACCAAAACAAAACTAAAATTAAATGTGTGTGTCANAATGGTAAAATTCAGCAATCACAATGTGTTTCTTATAACTTTTGCTGATCTTGTGTGTGTCTTTTATTAGCAAAGAATTAATTATATACTTACTTCATAGTTTCAATAATTTAATTTAATGACATAAGTAGTTATGATGTTCTTATATGTATGATAATTATTTCATTAAATTATAGAAACTATAATTTAATGAAATAATTATCATACATATAAGAACATCATAATTATTTCATTAAATTATAGAAACTATAATTTAATGAAATAATTATGATGTTCTTATATGTATGATAATCAGTCAAAAAGCTTGAGTAAAAATCCCAGTTTGGAGAACTTGTAGCTGAAACAATAGTGACATAAATATTTCACTGTGTATGACAACTGTCACACAAAAAATCCAATACATTCAATCCAAGTGTTATCAAAAAAAGTGCCTACTTTCCATGAACAGTAAGATACAGAAAAATATCAAATTGATGATTATGCAGGTGACCAAATCTACAATGTCCATATAAATTTAGTTCAATGTCGTATAATTCTTTTTTTAATGAGTTTGATGCGATATCAACTAACTGTGCTTAGCTTTAGATAAGTTTATAATAAATATATTTACATTTGGTACAACTGAAAAAAAGCTTTTAAACAGTATATTTTGTGGTATAGAAATTTAGTGTATAATTTATAATTTAGAAGAATACATAAAAAAAATCATTTTTATCCATTTTTAATGTTCTTCATAACTCTGCAATTGAACTACTTGTTATATCTCAACTATAACATTTATTTTGTTTTTTAACAAAGATATAATCTGAGTTTGCAATCTGAATTTTCTGATTAAAAAAAAAATCATATTTTGATATCCTCTGAAAATATTTAATATGTTTCTAATTAGTGGGACGTTCCCAACTCTCGGAGCTACTGATGAACTTTTCTACTCACTTCATTTGTGACAATAACTTTAAAATCAACTATTTGATTTAACCATCTTTTTGACTTGTTAAAGAAGATTAATAATTAAAAGTATTAATAATAATAAGGAAAGACCAATATTAAATATAGAACACTTCCGTGTTGCGGCATTATTGACAGCGATTTGTTAAATTTCAGATATACTCACTAGTACTTTCAACAGTTTACATCCATTATCAGGCAAAATCAAATACCTTTGCTTTCAAATTGACAGCTTTTAATGGACTTTTCAAATTACGTAATTCATGTGGTTACAATATAAAACAAACCAATAAAAATTGAAATAAATAAATATTTTTAAAGAAACATGCTGTAATAACTTGAACTCCCCAAAACATATAAATAATGAGTAATGGTACCGTGCATGGTAGTAGAATAAAATCAGATCACAAAATTATAACTTGGATTGTTTAACCTGTCCTATGTTGATCCCAAA